CCTGTGCACTCGCATGAATATTCCACTAGTTGAATTTAGGATAAATTATGTTAGATACGAGCCCTTAATTAGAATTGTAAGGCTCTTGTTAGTTAATAGGAAGCAGTTTTATTATTAATATGCAATTTTATTAAAGATAATTGTAATTGTAACTGCAATAACGATCATAACTATAATTTAGAATAGAAATTAATTAATTAGGATAATTAGAGTGTTTCCTATAAATAGAGGAGGCAATTGAAAGAGGGGATATCAGGGAATTTGATTAGAAAGGGGTTATTTTAGCTTTGGGGAGGTGCAGATCCTCGAAGTTCTGCGATTATCATTTTATAACCAAATTTCTTATTTACTTGTCTATATCAGTTGGTTTCCATCAACTGGCATTAGGGAGATACAGACCTCGGAGTTCTGCGATTATCATTTTGTGACCAAATTTCTTATTTACTTGTCTATATCAGTTGGTTTTTATCAATTGGTATCAGAGCACTTCTGATCCAGGACAAAAAATTATTTAAAAAATAGAAATGAAATGGAATTGTCATCCAGAATAGAAGAAATGTTTGGTATTTTTGATGAAGTGCTGAAAGAACTTAGAGATTGGAGAAGAGAACTCAAAGAATTACGACTAGCAATACCAATCTTTGAAGGAAGGGATGTTGTTGGATAGATGACCAAGGTTGAGAAATATTTTGATGCAGGAGGTGCATATAAAGAAGAAGATCAAATACCAAAAGTTATGCAATGGATGAGTGGTAAAGCCATCGTATGGTACCAATTATGGGTGTCAGACAACCCATTTTCCACTTGGAGAGATTTTACAGAGGCAATTATTAAACAATTTGGGCCAGAAACTGATTTAATGGATAATGAAGAAGTGGAATCAAAGAAAGTTTCAAGAAAACATAATATCCATGATGAAAAAAGAATGAGCAAATAAGAGAACTCTAATAAAAAAGGAGGCCATGAGTATGTTGTTTTGGATCGCTCAAAGTTAATAAAAAAAGTGAAGAAATGTGAGCGAAAAGAGAAAATTGGTGGCATGTGCCGCATCTCGAAAAAAATGTGGAGTGGCAAAAAAAAAGTCTCCATCAATGTTATTTATCTCAAGAGAGGAAATGGAAACACTGAGTAAATCTAAAGGGGGTGAAGAACATGGTCTTGCGACCAAGAGAAAGGGTAAGGAAGTCAATTACGCAAGAGGAACGTATTAGCACCCCTCACGTCTGTGGTACTCCTCCACAAGATCCACTCAAGTTTGTTTCTAATCAAAGGGTGTAACTTATAAGTCTAAAGCCCGTTGCTAAGGGAATGTATGAGAAAGTATATATGAAAAGAAAGTTTTTATTAATTGTGTCTGCTGCAGTTGCGAACCTTTGTGTCTACGTACCCTCTTCGTGCAATGAAAGATCAGGCACTTGTAGTTCACCTAAAAATGTGTTTTGGTTTGTTTTGTATTTTTTAGGCAGATAATGTTACATTCTCACTCTAGTAGTTGACATATTGTAGCCCGACCTTTGGGGACTTATGTGTCATTTTGTGCAGAATGAAAATAACACATCTTTTTTATGAAAAGATTTTCAAAAGAAAATTCTGAAGGCAAAAGAGTTTGAATTTTTTGAATATTTTGATAGGAGAATACATTAGATACTTCCTCATAAGGTGGAGGTATCTAATTACTTCTCCATTATTTTTGAAACTGTTCAAGCAATATTAGATGTTTTTGGATTTTTGATTAACAAAAAGTTTTAGTTTTAGAACGGATGCAAATAAGAAAAAGACTAATCAAAAGGGGATCTGAATCCTACTTATTGTCATGCTTGTGGACTTAAAGTTAGGATGAAGGGAGAAAATTCTATCCTAAAATTGTCATGCTTGGATTTAAATCCTAAAGCCTAATTAATTCAATTTAATCAAAAGTTTAAAATTGAATTAACAATCCTAAGGAATCATGGTAATCAACCAAACAATCATCAAAATAAAATAAGATTAAAATCTATTCTAATATTTTTCTTTGCATTTTTTTATCATGTAAGAAACTAAGAAAAATTTAGAAATATCACACAAAACAATTGACAAAATTAACACAAGAATTAGAAGAACAATTAATCACCAAAAAAAATAAAAAGGCAATGCTTCAGGGGGTGAAAATTGGAATCAGAGAGTGTGAAGAGAAGCAGGCGCGAGACCCAAGTCATAAGAGTCCAATAAGCAAGTTTTTTGTTAATTTTCTTCAAGGTGTTCAAAAAGACAAACCAATGGGCTTAAGGAAGTATAACTCGGTCCAGTAGTCCATGTCCATCAACCAAATTCAATTCCATTAGTCCATAATTTTATTTAAGTTTTATTTACTTAACAATTTGTTTATAATAAAAATAAAATAAAATAAAATACGTACATAAAAGGAACAAAATAAAATTAGGGTTCAACAAAGAATTTTGGCTCAAGGTTTGATCCTTTTGCAATGCATTTCATGGACTATTCTCTGCATGTTTTGGCAGGTTTTGGAGCAAAGCTTCATGGATTTTTTTGGAGGAAAGTAAGTGCAGTATTTGAAGAAGGAACCATATTGTGAACACATGATGAAGAACAAGACTCATGGACACTTCTTTGGTTCATGGGAGATGGACTTTTAGCAATATGCAGTAGCTAGAATATGAAATTTTTGTGTAATTTTCTTTGTATGTATATGGTTTTGTAATTGTTTGAATGGAATTTGAATGAAATTAGATAAAATTTTCTTGAATCATGAATGATGATATTTGATAATGAATGGAGTAAAATGATTTATGGATGTAATGTAATGGTTAGATCTTGTAATGAATTTGAATGAACATGATGAACCTTGACGTTTGTATTTGAACAATGAAACTTGGAAATTTTGAATGATGAATCTTGGGATATCTTTGAATCAATATTTGAATGAATATGGAACTTAATTGATGAATGCCTTAAACCTTGACGTCTTGTATTCCATGAAAACCATGTACACGTTCTTCCAACTTTAATCCATTTTGATAAGTTGAACTCATGAACTTTTGGCATCAAGAATTGAATGAATGCTTCAACCAATGAACCCAAATTCCATTTAACTTTTAAATTCGAACTTTCGATCTTTCAATCTTGCTTGAATCAAATCCTTGAAAACAAACCAATGCTTAAGATCTTTAATTTAATTTGATAATTCTTTGAACACCCCACTTTAAAACTCAATGTTCAAATTATAACCAACTTGAATCTTCAATGAACTTCTAATTTCAAATTCTCAAAATTCAAGCAACCCTTAAATTGCATGACAGGTGACACATATTTGAAAGAACGATGGTGTTTTGAATCCACATATCATATCTTGTAACCTGTCTCCTACCCTGTAACATGTCTCTGATAAACTCCTCTTCCAATGAATGACATTAACAGAATGATCATACCTTAAGGATTCCTTGGGTAGAGAAGTGAACCCTAATCCTTGGCACTGAAGAAATAGAATGAAGAAAAGTCCTATAGCCTGATGAAGAAGAAAAATAAGCCATGTAGCCTGATGAAGAAGAAAAATAAGCCTTAGGTGCTTTATTGATGAAATGTTATGTTAATGACCTAATGAAATACATGCAGATGGATGCAAAAGCCTAAGCCAAATAGAATTAAAATTAGGAGGAAAATTTTGGGGGTGCAACAACATGCAACAAAGTATTATCAAGAAAACAAAATTGTCTGTGAAGGAAGAACCACTGAACGAAAATATAACCAGTGGAGAGGAATGGTTTGTGGCTGAGAAGGGTAAAGAAATTCCTTGCGTGTTGGTTGTATTTCCATTGATGAAACTGCCAGACAAAAGTGTTGTTATCTGTCTCACAACGACGAAAAAGAGTTTCACCACATTCACGATCCTTGAGAGGAAAGCCAACAAATGCCACTGCAATAATTCCAAAATGTTTGGTAATCTGTCCTCCAAACCGTGGGACCCTGGAGGCTAAATTAGGCTGCAAGATGATGCAAACACTTTGGTTTTAATGTCAATATTAGTAAAGTTGTTTTGCAATTGGTTTTTATTTTATTCTCTTGTAATCACCTTGAGGACAAGGTGATAGTTTAATGAGAGAGTATTGTTAGATACAAACCCTTAATTAGGATTGTAAGGATCTTGTTAGTTAATAAGAAGCTGTTTTATTATTAATAAGCAGTTTTATTAAAAATAATTATAATTATAACAATAATTGTCATAACTGCAGTTTTAGAATAGAAATTAATTAATTAGGATAATTAGAGTGTTGCCTCTAAATAGAGGAGGCAATTGAAAGAGAGGATATCAGAGAATTTGATTGGAAAGTGACATTTTGACATTGGGGAGGTGCAGACCCTCGAAGTTCTGCGATTATCATTTTGTAACCAAATTTCCTATTTATTTATCTATCTATATGAGTTGGTTTCTATCAAATTCATTCCTCTCTCCTCTTAATAATTAACAAAACATAATTATGCTAACACCATTTATTACACCAAAATACTTATATCATAAATATTGTTTTACTAAAATACTATTATTTTTATAAAAAATATTAATTTTTAAAATTAATTTTGTAACACAAATATAAAATTGTGTGATTAAACCAAATTCATAATTGTTTTACTTATAATTCATTAATCATTTTCACTACTTCATTAATCAATAAAATATATATTATTAATTATATTCTGACACTATATTATAAATGTATTAACCAACTTTTATATTTCATTAACCAATTTTATTTTATTATTTAATATTTTTTTTATATTTAAAAAATTATTAACTAAGTACTAGTACATGGTATTAACCAAAATTTAATATATATTTTTCTTAACAAAATAATATAAATTTACCCACCAAAACGATTTCCCGTCCTTTCCATTACCCACCAAAACTATTTCTAGTGTAGAGAAAAACAAAACAAAATAAAACAACACTCGTCTAATTCGAATTAAGATGGTAACGAAGCTGTTGCATTGAAACACTCTCACTTCCAATGCCAGAACGCGCCGCTGCTCATGCTGCCGCCAACCGTCGTACTTCCCGTTCCGATTCTAATCCATGTCTCAACAAAAACCAAATCCTCGAGTTGTTCCACCGTTGCATTAAGCTTGCTTCAGAAAATGTAATGCTCATCATTCACCAATCACCACCACGTTCTAGTTCTACTTTTGATTTTTTTTCTTACCGTTCAATGTTTTTGTTTTTTTTCTTCTATTTTTGTGCGCATAAAATTAATCACAAAAATACTTGGGAATTGGATTTGATTGATCATCTTACTGATATTATTAGGGATCAAGACGATAATCATATACAGACTGATTTTCAAATGGTAAGTTGGCTTTGCAACTCCGAAGCACCGACACTTTTCATTGTCCGTGTCCGAAACTGACAGAGATACTTGTAATTATATTTAATTTATTTATTTTTCAAATCATTATCAGTGTCGACATGTCAGACATATCGTGTTTTCGGTATCCGTTCTCCGTAGTTTTTTTTGATTTTGGATTTCCTTGATTTTGTCTTTTTTTGGTATGCTTTTTCCATGGTATTTATTTCTTTAAAGTTACCTATAATGATGAATCTCCAATGATTTTAAAACCACTTGAAAACCGGAATGCTATTGGTTTTTTTAAATGACTTTTATAATGTTCATATTTTTATATCTGCAACTAGATTTCTCAGAATCACATTTATGATGGAAGAAGTGTTTGTTGTCTACATGTGTGTCTATGCTTCGTGGCTAAATTTCTAGAATTAATTTTTTTGTTTATAATTGCACTCAGTGTTGTTAACATAAGTTATTACGACGCTAGCGAAATTTAGATAAACTTATGTTGTCGATATGCTATCTAGTACTGGATATTGTCAAACAGCTGATATAGTGGTGCCATGGCATTATTGCGTCAAAGAATTTTAACAAAACGGTATTTTCTGCTATCCGCGGTTGACAACATTGATTACACTACTACTGCTGGGATGATTTATAGAGTCAATCAGACAGCTATGACACTAAAAGTAAATCTATTTAACATATGTAAATAATATTCATTGATTTCTTATTTGGGTAGGCAGGTTGCATTCTTGAAGCTGGAGTCAAAATTTATTCATCAAGAGTGGATTCTCTATATTCTGAGACGTATAAAGTCCTTGCTAGAATGAATAGGGCGGGCCAAGAATCTGAACAAGGTTATAACGATCATACCCTTTTATAGTTTTATCAAGTTCAATATTTTTTGTGTTTGTTTTCCCATTCATAGCGATGTTTTATGTCCTTATAGGTTGTAGATAGTATTAAAGGGTATTTTAGTATTTTTGGTTGTTTTGATAATTTATTCGTTAAGTTTATATTTCTGGTTGTTTTGATAACTTATTCATTAAGTCTATTCTATTATGACCTATGTGTGATTCCTTTTTCTTTGTGTATAAATAGACTAGTTGTAAATTTCATATATACAACAACAACACTTTTATTCCTCTTGCAGCTTTTACAGTCGTCACTCTCTTTACTCTCTTAAATTTATTCTTTGTTCATCGTTGATTCTTGTACACTAACAAATTGATATCTAGAGCTCTGGTTCTGATCCACATGGAAACACAGGGAAACACGAGTGAAACGTGAGCGTTTATGTGATTGATTTTGGTTTTGGGTTCGTGTTGAATCTTTGAACAAAATTGTAATAGAATCACTTTTTTTTCCAGATTCCGTGGGATTGGGAAACACTGTGCTTGTGAGATCTGAGTGAGTTGTACAAGGTTAATGATGAACGGAAACTATAGTCTGAGTACCGAACTTTCTGTTTTTGATGGCAAGAACTGGAACATATGGATGATTCAGATGCGTGTGTTGTTTGATGCTCAAGATGTTCTTGAGCTTGTTACCGAAGGTTATGTTCCAGTTGCAGAAAACGCAACAGAAGAGAAGAGAAACACACAAAGACAAGAGGAAGAAAGATCAGAAGGTGTTGTTCTTCATCCATCCGTGTGTGGATGAGAATGTATTTGAGAAAATTGCAGATTCGACAACGTCAAAGGGCGCGTGGGATATACTGGTCAAATGTTACGATAGTGACGCATCAGTGAAAAAGGTGAAGCTTCAGTCTCTATGAAAACAATATGAGAATCTCAACATGAAGAATAATGAGAAGGTTTCTAAGTACATCTCTAGAATGATTCTAATCACTAATGAGATGAAAGCTTGTGGAGAAACCCTTTATGAACAAGTAATCATTGAGAAGATATTAAGGTCACTTATTCCTCAATTTGATTACATTGTTGTAGCAATTGAACCTTCTAAAAATCTGGAAACCATGAGAATAGAAGAGCTGCAAAGCAGTTTAAAGGCGCGTGAGTTGCGTCTGACTGAAAGAACTTCTGAGAGAGAAGTTGAGCAGACTCTGAAGGCTTATTTTGTCAAGAAGGACCAGAAGCATTCTTGATCAGAAATCAAGAATAAACGTGGTGATAGATTCCTGAAGTTAGAAACTTCCACTTCTGATGAGAAGAAATCTCAGAAGGGTAAGGAGAAGTTTGACAAGAAGAAGGTTCAATGTTATTGTTGTAAGCAGTTTGGACATTTTGCTAAAGATTGCTGGTCAAATAAGAGAAGGAGATCATAAGAAACAAATATAGCCAGAGGAGATTCTGATAATGAACCTGTGCTATTGATGGCTTCTGAGTCTGATGGAAAGTGTTTGACAGACTGGTGGTATATGGACACTGGCTGTTCAAATCACTTGACTGAAAAAAAACAATGATTGGCTGATTTTTTGACTCTAGAAGGAGAACAAAAATCAGATGTGCTGATGATAAGTACCTTAACGTGAAAGGTATGGGAAATGTCAAAGTTAAAGTGAAGAATGGGAGTACCGTTCAAATTAAAGATGTTTGGTATGTTCCTGGAATTAAGAGCAATCTGATGAGTGTGGGTCAGCTCATTGAGAAAGGTTTCTCATTTATTATGAAGGACAATCTCTTGAAGTTGTATGATGCTAATCAAAAGTTGATTATGCAATTAGAATAAGGAAGCAACAGGACATTCAAAGTGAATGTGGAGACAATAGAAGTAGAATGTCTTAGATCAGAAGACGCTGAAGCTGATAGTAAGCTATATCACAAGAGATTAGGGCATCTGAACTACAGAAGCTTAGGACATCTGAGTTCTAAGAAGCTCGTACGTGGCATTCCGAAGATTGTGAAGCCTGAGAAATCATGTGAGGTATGCATGAAAGGCAAGCAACTCAGATTGCCATTTGTGTCAGAAGTAACTCCAAGAGCAAAATATGCTTTGAGAGTAGTGCATTCTGACGTGTGTGGACCATTTCCAGAACCTTCACTTGGAGGAAATAGATATTTTGTGTCTTTTGTGGATGAGTTCACAAGAATGACGTGGGTAACACTCATAAAGTTTAAACATGAGGTGTTTACTGAGTTCCATAAGTTCAAGGTGAAGGCTGAGAAACTAAGTGGTCAGAAGCTGAAGATTCTCAGAACGAACGGTGGAGGTGAGTATAACTCTATAGAATTCAAGAATTTATATGATGAAAATGAAATTGAGCAAGACGTTACTGCTCCTTATACTTCTCAACACAATGGTCTTGTTGAAAGAAGAAACTGTACTTTGCTTGATATGACTAGAAGCATGTTGAAAGAGAAGAAGCTACCTCATAACTTGTGGAGATAAGTTGCAGCCACGTCAGCATATGTGCTCAACAGGTGCCCAACGAAGAAGTTAAAGGAATTTGTTCCTTTAGAAAAGTGGACTGGAGACAAGCAAAGTGTTAGTCATCTGAAGGTGTTTGGTTATGTATGTTATAAACACGTTCCAGAAGCTAGAAGGAAGAAGATGGATGATAGAAGCAAAGTAACGATTCTGGTGGGGTACCACAATACAGATGCATACAAGCTTTATTATCCAGAAACGAATAAAGTTGAAGTCAACAGAGACGTCATTGTAAAAAAATCAGAAGTATGAGATTGGAGCAAGTCTCAATCTACTTCTAAAGATAAGTCAGAACTTGATAGTTCTGAAGAAGAGTCAGAGTCAGATGGTGAATCTGATTCTGATCCAGATTTTGATGATGATCCAGAATCTGGTGGTGGTCATGCTTCTGAAAGGGAAAACTATGAAGATGTAGGTTCTGGAGGACAAGCTTCTGAAGATGATCATGTTTCTGGTGAAGGTCATGATTATGAAGGTAGAACTTTAGAAAGTAGAGGTTCTGAAGACGATCCAACTTCTGAAGGTGGTCAAGTATTTGATACTGTTCTAAAATTTGAAAGAGTTTCTGAATAAGTTCAGAGTCCACAAAGAATCAGACGAATACCAAGAAGGTTTGAAGAGTTTGACATGTTGTAAGACACTGAAGTAGATTCATAAGGAGAAATTGTTCAGTGTGCCATGTTAGTAGACTCTGAACCTGTGAGTGTTGAAGAAGCTCTCGAGAAGAAAGTATGACTGAATGCCATGAAAGAAGAACTTGAGACTATAGAAAGAAACAAGACCTGGAAGTTGACTAAGCTTCCAGATAAGAAGAAAGTCATCAGCATCATATGGGTTTTTAAGGTGAAGCTTAATCCGGATGGATCAATTGGAAAGCACAAAGCAAGGCTAGTGGCTAGCGGTTTTCTTCAGAAACCTGGGCTAGATTACTTTGAGGTGTTTGTGCCCGTAGCTAGACATGAAACAATCAGACTGATGATTGCTTTAGCTGCAAATAGAAATTGGTCTTTGATGCATCTGGATGTGAAGTCTGCATTTCTGAACGGTCCATTACAAGAAGAGGTATACGTGTCACAACCTCCTGGATTTGTGAAAAAGAATCAGGAAGGGATGGTGTACAAATTACATAAAGCTCTGTATGGATTGAAGCAAGCGACCATAGCTTAGAAATTGAAGATTGATTCATTTTTCAAGAAACAAGGTTTTCACAAGTGTGAGATGGAGTATGGCGTGTATGTTCAGCATTATGAAAGCAATATGATTCTGGTATGTCTTTATGTTGATGACATATTGCTGACGAGAAGCTGTTTTGAAGAAGTTATCAAGTTCAAGAAGACTCTAATGAATGAATTTGAGATGACTGGCCTAGGAAAGTTGGTTTACTTTCTAGGAATAGAGGTATTATACTCTGAACAAGGTATAATTTTGCATCAGCTGAAGTATGAACTTGAGCTTCTGAAGAAATTCAAGCTGGAGAATTTTAAGGCCGCTGTTATACCGTCAAAAACCAATCATAAATTGGATTCTGACTCTGAGGGTGAAATGTAGATGTTACAACGTTCAAACAGTTGGTAGGTTCTCTGAGGTACCAGACCTGACATTTGTTATGCGGTTGGATTGATTAGTAGCTTCATGAGTAAACCTAATTGGTCACATTACCAAGCTGATGTTAGGATTCTGAGTTATATCAAGGGAACTCTGAAGTTTGGAGTACTATTCACTTCTGAAAGAAAAACAGATTCAGAGTTGATGAGTTATTTTGATTCTGATTGGTGTGGGGATAAAGTTGACAGAAGAAGTAATTCTGGATACTTGTTTAAGTTTTTGGGAGGTCCTATTTCTTGGTGTTCCAAGAAGCAATCCGTTGTTGCTCTATCAACGTGTGAAGCTGAGTACATTGTAGGTGCTATAGCTGCATGTCAAGCTGTGTGGCTTCTGAAATTACTACAGGATCTGAAGATCAACGTAGATAAGCCCTTGAAGCTGATGATTGATAACAAGTTTGCATTCAACCATGCCAAGAAGTCAGTACTACATGGGAGAAGCAAGCATGTTGAAACAAAATATCATTTTCTGAGAGGTCAAGTCCAGAGCGGAGTACTAGAAAACCTAGAAGCAGCTGGCAGATATTATGACAAATACACTCAAGACAGATCAATTTCTTCGCTTAAGAAATGGAATTGGTGTAGTTAGTTTTAATTAGAAATTCTAAATTAAGGGATGATATTAAAGGGTATTTTAATATTTCTAGTTGTTTTGATAACTTAGTATTAAGTCTATTTTATTAAGGCCTATGTGACATTCCTTTTTCTTTTTGTAGTAGTCCTTCATGAAAATTGTCTTATTTTCAACAGTTTTTCTTAGCTTTTTTGCTCTCAAATTAATTTTATAACAATGAAGACTAGCCATAAGTTTAAATGAGTAGTTTATAGTGGAAAGAGACATTCCCGCAGGATTGAAATTATTTCCCAACAATACATTATTGTTGGAAATTTAACATTTTATTCTGTATTAGTTCTAAATTTTAATAATGTCATGATGTTCAAACACCTTCTCTAGAGAGTGTCAATGCAGAAGGGGGACAAGAAGATAGCAAGAAGGGAATCGTTAAAAAGGTCAGTTCTTTTGATCTCTGAACTGGTTTGAATAAACAAACTTCAAATTTATTGATATTTTTAAGTGCCTAAGTGATGTTTGTTCATGCAGTTGTCACCTTTGTCGACATTGGAATCATCTTTTGAGGCTCTTAATGTAAAGAAGTTTGATGGTGATCTCAAATCTCATGCTATTTGTTACATGTTGTTAATTTTGGAATAAACTCATAGTTTTCATTATGATTTGGAATGTACAAAACAACATTATATATACTGTTAAAGTAACAAACTGTTTAGTAACAAACTAAACAGAATTGTAACAAACTATAACAAACTAAAAAACTAACTATTTAGTAATAAACTAAACAGTATTATTTTCATCATGTAATAGCCCCCCACAAGCTGGACTATGGATGTCTAATAGACCAAGCTTGGAAACAAGAGAATCGAAAGAGGGAGCTGCCAAAGGCTTGGTGAGAACATCTGCCAGTTGAGCAGCAGAAGAAACTGGTAAAAGATGGATGAGACCAGTTTGGATTTTCTCACGAATGACGTGGCAGTCAATTTCGATATGTTTTGTCCGTTCATGAAAGGTGGGGTTGTGAGCAAGGTAGATAGCACTTTTGTTGTCACAATAGACTGAGCTAGGTTGATCGAAGGAGATGTGGAGGTCCTTGAACAAATACTGCAGCCATTGCAATTCACAAGTCAAGCTTGCCAAGGCCCTGTATTCTGCTTCTGAACTGGATTTGGATACTGTAGACTGCTTTTTGGATTTCCAGGATATGAGGGAATTGCCAAGGAACACACAATATCCAGTTACGGATCTGCGGGTAGCAGGGCAACTTGCCCAATCTGAGTCTGCGAAGCCAGAGAGTTTGAGTGGAGAGGAAGATGAATAGAACAAACCCTTGGCAGGAGCACCTTTGAGATACTTGAGTACTCGAATTGCTGCAGAATGATGAACTTGCATAGGATGTGAGATGAATTGGCTGAGCTGTTGAACGATGAATGCAAGGTCAGGTCTGGTGGTAGTCAGATATAGAAGTTTTCCAACAAGCCTTCGATAAGCTGTGACGTCTTCGAAAGGTGGTGAGTTATCATCATGAAGCTTCAAGGAGGAATCAAAGGGAGTAGAGCAAGGTTTAGTAGCCAATAAGCCACTGTCTTCGAGCAATTCCAAAGCGTACTTTCTCTGATTGAGAAAAATGCCGTGAGTGGATCTGGCAACTTCTAGACCAAGAAAATATTTTAGCCTACCAAGGTCCTTGATTTTGAAAGTGGAATCAAGGAAGCATTTGACATATTTGATTTCCTGCAAATCATTACCGGCTAGGACAATATCATCAACATAGACTAATAAAACAGTAAAAGAAGAGTCGTGTGATTTTGTGAAAAAAGAATGATCAGCAGAAGAATATGAGTAGCCAAGAGAGATAAGGGCAGTGGATAATTTCGAAAACCACTGTCTGCTAGCCTGCTTCAGGCCATATAGTGACTTATGCAATTTGCAAACTTTGTTGGTCGAAGAAGTGCCAACTTCGTTGGTCGAAGAAGTGCTGACTTCGTTGGTCAAAGAGGTGCAAACTTCGTTGGTCAAAGAGGTGCAAACTTCGTTGGTCGAAGAAGTGCAAACTTCGTTGGTCGAAGAAGTGCAAACTTCGTTGGTCGAAGGAGTGCAAGCTTTGTTGGTCGAAGGAGTGCAAACTTTGTTGGTCGAAGGAGTGCAAGCTTTGTTGGTCGAAGGAGTGCAAACTTTGTTGGTCGAAGGAGTGCAGACTTCGTTGCTCGAAGTGCAAATTTTGTTGGTCGAAGAATTGCAGACTTCGTTGGTCGAAGAAGCAGGAAGCATGAATCCAGGAGGCAGATCCATATACACTTCCTCATGTAGATCACCATGAAGGAAGGCATTGTTGACGTCAAGTTGTTCCAAGTGCCAATTCTTAATGGAAGCCACTGAGAGAAGGGTTCGAATAGAAGTAAGCTTCGCAACAGGTGAGAAAGTGTCGAAATAATCCACCCCCTCCAGCTGAGTATATCCTTTCGCTACTAAACGTGCCTTGTATCGTTCGATGGATCCATCAGCATGATGCTTGATTTTGTAGACCCATTTGCAACCAATCGATTGTTTGCCTGCAGGCAAATCAACAACATACCAAGTATTTGTAGATTCAAGAGCATCTAACTCAGATTTCATAGCATTGTTCCAACAATCAAATTTGCAGGCTTGTTTATAGGTTTTTGGTTCTGTGAAGGAACTTATGGATAGACAAAATAATTTGTGATCAGGACTACATTGGCTATAAGATAATACAGAAGAGAGAGGGTAGTTAGAGGAACCTGAATCAGATGCTGGCAGCATAGGGGATAGCAAATTGCAGTGATAATCGGATAAATAAGCTGGAGGTTTACTATTTCGATTGGATTTTCTGGTTGGCACAGGAGGGGAGGGGCAAGGGGAGTTGTTAGTGTCATTCGAGGAAGAAGAGAGGTTAGTGGGAGATTCTGGCTGGGGGAGAGAGGTAGGAGAGGAAGGTTCATTTGATGGTGGAGGTAAGTTGGGTGGAATGTTGGTGAAAATATCATGTGGATCAATCGAAGGAGGGCCAGGAGTAGGAATTATAGGATTAGGTGCAGGTGGGATGGATACAAAAGGGAACACAGTTTCATAAAAGAATACATTCCTTGAAATGTAAAGTTCATGTGTGATAGGATCATAGAGAAGGTAGCCTTTTGTGCCTTCCCTGTAGCCAAGAAAAAGATTTCATTGCTCTTGGTTCGAATTTAGTGCAATGGTTAAGCAAGGTCAAAGAATAGGCAAGACAACCAGAGACTCTCATATGGCTAAGGCTGGGAGGAATAGAATGGAGTTTTTGGTATGGAGAGTGGTTGTTTAAAAGAGGAGTGGGAAGACGGTTTATAATATGAATGGCATGTTGTATGGAAAGGTGCCAAAGGTTGTGAGGGAGGTGAGAGTGGAAAGAGAGGGCACGGGCAACATTCAAAATGTGTTGATGTTTTCTTTCCACGATACCATTCTGTTGAGGCGTTTCCACACAAGACCTTTGATGAATGATTCCTTTAGAAAGGTAGAAAGTGGTCATGAGAAACTCAGGACCATTATCACTTCAAATGCACTTGAGTTTCTTGTTAAATTGGGTTTCGATAAAGGATATGAAGTGAATTAAATGGTTTCTGGTTTCACTTTTGTTGGCCATAAAGATTGTCCAAGTAAACCTGCTGTAATCGTCTACGAGGGTTAAAAAATACTTGTGGCCACATATCGAAGGTGTGGAAAGAGGGCCCCAAATATCAACATGAAGTAAGTCGAAGATGGCAACATACTTAGTATTACTGTGAGTAAAGGGAAAATGTTTTTGCTTAGCCAAATGGCAAGTGTTACAGGGCTTATGATTGTCATTGTAGGTGACAAAAGGAAATTGAGAGGAAATACATTTGTGTATGTAGGGACTTAAGTGTCCAAGCCTAAGATGCCAAATAGTAGCAGGATCGAATTGGGGAGAAGAGGAGGTGTTGACAGATCCAGATGTGGGAGAGATGGTCTTAGGTGGGTGGCATCAAGAACATACAATTTGCCAATCCTCCTAGCTGTAAATCCAGTCATCTTGGATTGGGGCAACTGCATAATTTGACAGCAATTAGGAGAAAATTTCACATCATATAAAGTGGAGTCAAAAAGAGTGGTGACAGAAATAATATTGACATGAAATGAAGGAAAGTAATAAACATTGTGAAGGACAAGTGAACCACATAGTAAAACTGAACCGGCAATAGCTGTAGTGACAGAGTCACCATTAGGCATTGTCATAGATTTAGATGCAATGTGGTATGTGGAAATGAAACTGGCAAAGGTATGGGTGATGTGATCAGTGGTACCTGTGTCAATGATCCACCAGTTATGACAAGGAAGATTTGAGGAATTCTTACCAGAGGAAGTATGAGGAGAGGTATTGGACACAGAATTAGCAGTATAAACTGAATTAATCGAGGGAAGTGAAGGAGATTGCAAATTAGATTGTTGGAGGAGCTGCAGAATCTGAGTGTATTGTTCTTGAATCGTAGACAAAGCACTTGGACTGGTGTTTGATGTGGATGCAGCATCTTGAATCGAATTCACTGTAGAATCAGCAAAATTCCCCACAGATGTAGTAGGCTTGCGTTGTTGAAATCCAGGGGGATAGCCATGTTTCAAGAAGCAAGTCTCAATGGTGTGATTGGTGCGGTTGCAATGGGTACAAAGTCTGTTTCCACGGCCACCACGGCCACGACCACGACCAGTGTTGTGAGAAGAACGAGAAGGTGTTTGAGAAAGGTGATTCACAGATGATTGAGACTCAATCGAAGAAGCAGAAGGTGAAAGAAGGTCGAATTGACGTTCTTGTTGAAGAACCAGATTAAACACATTATCAAGAGTGGGTAGTGGTTTCATCAGCATAATCTGGGATCGAACATTAGCGTATTGGTCACCAAGGCCCTTCAAGAACTTGATAACTTTATCTTGTTGTTTGAATTTGCGTAAGTCTGAAGCAGCACCACAGGAGCACGGTGTAGCGCAAGTACAATCACGAATTGGCCGGAAGTTCTCAATTTCTTTCCAAAGCGTCATCAATTTTGTGAAGAACGAAGAGCCATCAAGAGTTCCTTGTTGAAGACGAGCAAGACTTTCTTGAATGTCAGCAATGCGAAAAATATCTCCCTGAGAAAAACGATTTTCCAAACTTTTCCATACAAGAGAAGCACGATCATACCAGAGAAGAGATTTGGCAATTTCCTCAGAAATCGAGCGTTGAAGCCATGAGAGGACGAGATTGTTGCATCGCAGCCAAGGTTCGTATAGAGAGTCAGAGGTAGGGGGAGGAGAAAGAGTGCCATCAACGAATTTGATCTTGTTCTTGAAGATAAGAGCTACTTTCATTGATCTAGACCAGATCTGGTAGTTCTTGGTATCAAGAACAGGTTGAACAAGAACAAGAGAGGGATTTTCATTAGGGTGCATGTAGTAAGGATTGGAAGGATTGGTAGCAAAATCAGAGTAAGGAAGCGCCATAACAAACGCTGAAACAGCAAGGGAAGAAGGGGGCGCGAAGGCGCGAAGAAGAAAGGTGCAGAAAATAGAGTTCAAACTGACACCATGTTAATTTTGGAATAAACTCATAGTTTTCATTATGATTTGGAAGGTACAAAACAACATTATATATACTG